ACACACACACACACACACACACACACACACACACACACACACACACACACACACCCTCTGTTCTACCGTTCAGCATCTTTCTCTGTATCGCAGATTTTAGCCTCTCCATGATAAAATACATGCACCCCCCACCTCCACTCCCGACTCTGAATCCCCCCATGCAGACAATTTGCAAGCACTTAACGGGGTTATGGGTTAACCTGGATCAAGTGTAATGTAATATGTCCCGAGGCTGGGTGTGTGTGTGTGTGTGTGTGTGTTGAAGCAGTAATCCAGTTGGAAGAAGCGCCGTGAGGGCGAGGGAGCAGCATCCATTAGAGACACACCTTCAGCTCAGAATCATGTTAATGATCTGGAATGTTCTCGTTGGACCCTTTGAAGCTGTCTGGTGCCAGTGGGTGTGTGTTGTGGACAACGTGCGTGTGCTATGGGTGGATGGATTATATGCTGCACCCTGAGGAGGGGAGGGGTTTGGGGGGAGATAAAGAAAGAGGTGAATAGTGGGTGAAAGTCGGGGGTGGGGAATACAGTAATGGAGGGGGAAAGGGGATTGTGGATGTGTGGTGATGCTTTTGCCAATGGAAAACATCTCTCTCTCTCTCTCTCTCTCTCTCTCTCTCTCTCTCTCTCTCTCTCTCTCTCTCTCTCTCTCTCTCTCTATCTATCTATCTATCTATCTATCTATCTATCTATCTATCTATCTATCTATCTATCTATCTATCTATCTATCTATCTATCTATCTATCTATCTATCTATCTCTCTATCTATCTCTCTATCTCTCTCCATCTCTCTCCATCTCTCTCCATCTCTCTATCTGTCTGTCTGTCTGTCTGTCTCTAGGCTGAGTAACTGATCGGTAGGTCTGTAGATATTCTCCCCCGACTGGTTTTCACAGCTATATGTGACAAATTCTCAGGGCATTTGGTGGAGTAGATGTCTCCAGCAGCAGGTAAATCAGTAATAGACCCTTCTTCACCACAACCGGAAGGTAAATCAGAATCTTCTACAGCTGCGGCTGAACAGATCATAATGTGTCCTTTATATAACAACTGCTGCCCCAAAAAGTTCTCAGTGTTTCACTTGAAGAATAGTTTACAAGCCTTGCAGCACAATTAGCATTAACCAGGGCAACCTGGAGCTCCCCCTGCAGGAGCATAAGAATATGTCTGCAGGCTGAACGACATAATGTCAAATGAGAAGTGGTGTAAAGATTTGAAAAACTTCAATTTATATGGACCACAGGGATATTTTTGATATTAAAGGTATTTTAGGATGGTAGAAATTCACATTGTGACCCTGTCTATACTAGCTGGTAGCACAGCAACCCAGTCCAAATATTCCTATTAAGTGGATCCAATAAGCAGTTTACTTCTGAGCTTTGGGTTTTCTTATTATTCACCAGTAAATTATTGTTATTTCATATACTTACAGCAGAATCCTGTGGCTGGATTTGGTATGTAGTCGTGATCCATTTGATTTGTGAAAGTAGCTCCAATTCTCAAAATGATGTGGGCTTAAAAAAACTTTAGCGGGCAGTGGTGGAATTGGTATGTTTTGTAGATGGTTGTAGCTGCTTCTTGCTTCGCTTTACCAGCGCATTTGTAAACAGCTTGGAACGCCGCTCAGTCTAGGTGCTTCTGTAACCGCGTGCACTCCACGATTGACATCAGTACTGAGGCTGGGTGATTTCTAAAACATTTCTATTTTTCTGCCCAAAAATGACGATCGGTGCTTTATTTGCCCAGGAGACGTTTAGAAGTTGTGTGGCCCTGACACTCTGCACGGCGTGCTCCACCAATCACAATCGTTCTTCCTCAGTTTGCAGAAGCAAGCCACGAGGGTTCAGCGTGAGACAGACGCCAACGGCTTTTGGATGTGTCAGCCTACGATAAACTGTGCTACAGTTGGTTTGTGCCACTAACCAGATGGTAGAGGTGCTTCTGACCTGTAAGCCAACAGCTGATGATTTTTCCAAAGTGGGGGTGGGGGTGGAGGGTAACCGTTCAACTATTGGTTCAGGAAGATGTCACTCAAAAGTTTGACGCTAACATTTGGATGTTAACAGGGATTATGAGAGATGCAAGAGAACACAAGAGTTGTTTTGGACTGAGGGCACTCATTCCTGCGGGAGAAGGCTCTATTGAGTCAGTGACACGAAGCTTCAAACTGTTAGATTATTTTGAATTGAAGTGGTTTGACAAAAGTGTTTGGTGTGTACACGTATGGGGGGACTCTTGATTATAATTCTTCATTGGAATCACAAGAATCCCAGCTTCCTTATGATGTTGTAGCGTAATGGTTGTTGGCTCTTTTATGAAAGATGAGCCATTCTACATAATAATCTGGAATATTAATTTAACAAATTAATAACCAAATGTTATAGAGAAAAGAAGACTCAAAGGTTGTTTTCATCGATAAACTGACGATCATATCCGTTTGTCTGTGTTTCTGTTCAATGAAAAGGCAAGTTTAAATTATAAGAGATTTATTTCTTCAATTTAAACTAATGATTTGAAATGACAATCATAGGAAAAAATGTGCTAAGATTTGAGGATGATGGAATTATGAATGCGTGCGAGCAGGTGTCTGAGATTGCTTCAGGGAGAGAAAAGGTGAACTGAGTGAAAAATGATGTTTTGCAATTAAACTTTAGTTCTTATTAGAAAAACAGCATCAGAACGCTATCTGTCGTGTTCTGCCTCACCGTACTTAGGACCCCCTTTTAGATCCGGACCTCGGAGGATGTGTTATCCAGATGACACCTTGGCTGGCAGAGAAGACGAAGGTGTGCGACGGTCCAGTCCAGAGTTGACCTCGGTACACGTTGATGAAGCGTTTAGCAGATGCGCTTTCTTAAGTTTAAATTAACTCAGAAATCAAAAGACTCTGGACGAGTCTGCGTTAGCGGGTTACATTTCAGCTATTCTGTCTGGCTTGACAGAAATAGCGTGGTGGGAGAAAAGAGCCGGCAGGAATCCTTTCCCTGTGGCGTTCGTTCCGCACTTCCGCTCTCTTCCGTTCTCACTCTCGTTCTGACTAACTTACCCAAAACCACTTCTCTTCCCAAAGCAAACTTGTTGTGCGTCAAAGCAAATGTGTTTTGAAGTTACTGCGGATCCAGACCTGTATGAGCAGGTGTGAAGGTCATCGCTAAACATCTTCAAAAACATTATTTAATTAAGTACACTGATTCATTATAGTTCATTATGATTACCCAAAGCATAATAATCATTCATTTGATTAAAATACATTTATAATGAGCAAAGTGACCAAATGACTATTTAACATTAATAAAATAACGGAAGCTTAAGACTCTGTTTTATCATGACTAGACTGTGTGACGTCCTTCTCCTGGAGATGCAGGTGTTCGGTTGTTGTGGAGTCCTTCAGACTTGCTGGCGGCTCAGGTCTTAATCTGTGGGTGAAGGTGCTGCGTGACCCAGCTTTGACCCAGCCGGGCAAATACGACCTTTGGCACAGAAACCCATACTTCCTCACGTTACAATGTGTAACATGTACTGTATGTGCACTTAGAACAATTGTTGCAAAGAACCTGTTGATTTGATGTGGAAGTGTGCCTGATTCATACGCTTAAGAAAATATTGCTCATTAAAAAGGGCTTGGCCAGTTGCTGATGGTTGAATAATTAAGCCCAAACTTAGTCTGTACGTAAGCGTATGTCTAACACTATCGGCTAATGCTGAGTGGTGCACAATTCAAATAGCATGGGACTCTATGGGACGGGGTGAGCTTAGAAAAAAAAAGGGATATATTGCTGAAAAATCCAGAAAAGGAGAAAAGTCTGGATTACTGCGGCGTCCCCTTATCCAGTCATGCCCATACTCTTTACTACTTGGTTGTTTTTCTCAGTGGAAGTTTTTGGTTGGATCTCAAACATTGAGTCACATTGCAGTCTTAAGTATTTTGTATTTTTTTGCATCTAAGATCTGCAGACATTTTGCTCCAGTTTCTGGTGAAAAACTTCTGAGGTGCAACCAAGGTTTAATGTTTTTTCTCAGAATAACTGAATCTCTTTAAGAGAGAATATTTATTTGACTTTAGTTAATTGGGTCATCTTTAAAGCCATACTATGCAACTTT